TCTTTCTTTCTTTCTTTCTTTCTTTCTTTCTTTCTTTCTTTCTTTCTTTCTTTCCAGCACTCAGTTAACACCAGAATCCTGCTGGAGAAAAATAGGTATATTTATATCTACTCCTTCAGGTTGTAGGCCTCTTTACTTGTTGCAGAAGAAGCCCTCAGCCTTGCTTCACCAATTGGGAGCAGAGAACTGAGATCCATTCTCTGGATCCTTGAGATACTTGCTGCTGGGAGAAATCTGGTCTCCAGGCAGACAGGAGTTGTGGGACTGAGGGATGCCGAACTTCTTAATTTTGATGATTCTCCTTCTCCAAAGTATAGTTTGAGTGACAGAGATATTTTTGGCTGCACTGGCCACACCCTCTGCAGATGTACATAAAGGTAAAGCTCCAGGTAACTTACATGGACCTGCTCATGCACCTTTCTTGGGAGCAGTATAGAAGTAGCTTGCCATTGCCTTCTTCCAAGTTTAGCCCATTCTAGGCCTGTCCATGTTTAGCCATCCCTATTTTCACCGCTTCCCAACTGGATCAACTTGGTTTTTCTTTAGTGAACTGCACACCAATTTCAATCCAAAACAGAAGAAAAAAACAGACCCCTGGATATCCAAGACTCCTCTCAGACCCACCATTGTAGCGTGTCTTGCCCCAGCCAGTGGTGACACAAATGTCTCCACTCTTGAACGAGTCTGTGGCATCTGCCAGGCACACAGGGGACACTGTCTTAACTAACGTGGCAGGGGTGGCCAGCTTGATGAGGGCGATGTCGTTGTTGATATTCACAGAGTCCCAGTCTGGGTGGACAAAGACCTAGTGGGGGAAGAGAGATGCTGTTAAGGCTGCATGAAGGAGATGATGATGTGGAGGAAATCTACGAGATCATTAGGTCCCTCCTGGTTTACCTTTGTTTCACCCTTTGCCAGTGCTTTGAGGTAGTCAAGACAAGGAAATCAAAGTTATAAATACTAATACTACTTCAATTATAAGTTTACAGTAATAGAATCTTGCAAGTCTGAGTCTGCCTCTCCCATCCCTCCCCTTATCTTCATGAGAACAAGGCTTGTCTTAATCTAAACTGGACACCCAGGAAGAACAGAAGATGTGTAACACAATCTGCATCTCTGCTTGTTGAAAGTTGGATTCTCCTCGTGTAAGTGCCTTTTTTGATGGGCCCCTAAAACCCTAAGGTACTTTGACATCTAGCTATTTCACCCACCTTCTCAACAGCCAGCTTCTGGATGTCCTCTTTGGGAGAGCTGCGGTCGAATTCCCCAAGCACTACAACATTTTTGGTCCTGCCGGAGGCAAGCAAAAAGTGAATGCCATGCACACATTCAAGAAAGCATGGCCACAGCAAGGCTTGGCATCAACCTGCAGAAGTGGGTAGGTGACCTCAGTATCCTGGAATCGGGAATAAAAAGTCATGTGCTCTAGAGCTTGCAAACAAAAGAGCTGAAGTCTTGGAGGGTCTTGTACAAGACTTCAGATTCAGGGTGTGGAGCAGCTTGGGTTCAACTAAATGGATGGATGAACCTGAAGTATGAACCTTCTTTAAACTGAATGTCCTTCTTAGATGCTGATGCTCGGCTATGGAAGATGGGATCATCACACAATTTAAAACTGATTTCATCTTTGCCCTGACACTGGGAAAGCTGGAATTATTACCACCCACTCTTTTTTTTTAAGATGAAGAGTGATGTCTTTTTTTAACCAAATACCACTATGCCTCAACAACATTTACAAATGAATGTTACAAAAGGTTTCATGATCTTAGCCCATCCTTCTTTTCTCCCTTGCTTTAGCCAGATGTAGTTAAGACGTTATTGCACACGTTATTGCCCCAAATATCTCCCCCACAAGCTCCATTGCCTAGTGCAATCTCCCCACAGCAAGGAAGAAGTTGGGTACTCACGTCACCCCACAATGGGCAGCTGTCACAACCCAGTTCTGGTCAATCAGAGACCCACCACAGAAATGCCATCCATTTGTCTCCTGTGAGGAAAGCCGACAAAAAGGAAAGTGTGGGACCCACAGAACCCAAGTCAGGGTGCAGTTGATAAGAGACACACACTCCGAGTGGCCCTGGAGAGCTGTTGTGAGCTAAACAAGGCCATGATGGATCCAGCAGCTTGAGCCTCCTGTCCAGGTTCTTCTGGAACATGTAGCCTGACCCCCCAGGATTCAGATGCAGGAGTCTGAAGCTCATCCCCACAAATGGGTTAGGGAATCAGGTCTAGTCAATTTCATAATCTCTGGTCAGTTCCAGGGGTGTCCACAAGGTATGGTAAAAAAAAAAGTTAAAATGGCAGCCAGAATGAAGCTCTGCCCACGAAGCATGTAAAAAACAAGCCAAGCTTCCATCGCACCATCGTAGCTGCCATTCTGACTTTTTTTGACCATGCTCTGAAGACACCTCTGTCAGTTACATAATACAGATATGAATCTTGTTCTTTGACTTTCCAGCTTATGCAGGTAACTTGCACCTTGGCCTACAAGATAGGTTCAGATGTCTCTGTTCCAAGCTGATTTCATTTCCACAAGGGCTCTGATGGGTCTTTTTGGCTTGCACAAAGATTCAAGTGAAGGTGTGTGGGGAAGTGGCTCCCTGCCCCTGCTTTGCTGAGAAAGGGCATTTCCTTTCAGGGCCCCTCTGAGGCATCCACTTGAGCAAGATGTGGACAGCCATGTGAGCTGATCCTCTGAAAGCAGGAGAATCAGGACCATGCAGAAGAAGACTTAAGCCACTTTGATTCAAGCTCCCCAGCCTTTGGATGAAACAGAAGGAAGAGGTGCAGCAATCTAAGTGAAACGAAAGGAAAAAATGCAGTGGTGGCAGGTGGGCCCTTTGGTTGAAAAGCTTCACACGCACACACACACATACACTAGCACAGATTTCGAACATCAAGCAGCCTTTTTAAAAAAATAATTTCCAGGTCTTTACTTTCTTTAGATAAGAACTGTGGATGTGATGCACACGAAAACCACATTGACCGCACTATCGCAGCTGGCATGTTGACGTTTTTGACCACACCTCACAGACACCCTTGCATGGGTATTTTGTGGGGGAAAGGGAGAGATGTGGAATAGGCTACAGAAAGGCAAGCATAGAACACGAAGCTCTGGCCGCAGGGTGCTTCAATCTGTGACTAAAATAAAATCTGAAGGGAAAGTGGGGGGAACATATGGAAGAAGGAAACGGAAGACAAGGCCATCTGGATTCCCCACAAAATTGTGTGAAGAAGGTGCGCCAATTATACAATAAAACATTGTGTGGAAATGCCTGGATAGAAGTATAGTGTGTTGGTGTGTAGTAACTAATTTGCCCAAAAAAAGAAGAGTTGTGCTCAGCTGGAAACCTTATTTGATTGAATTCTTTAGGACAAATATTTGGACATAGCTTTAGTTACAGATGCTCTGTGGCATGTGCATTCTGTGCATGGTCAGAGGCACTGCAACCTCTTTATTCAAGCCCTGCAAAATTGAGGAATCAGACTAGTTCTGGCAGAGAAAGCATTAACCAAGAGGCAAAGCAACCAGGGTTCCCATCACTTCTCCTAGCCCATTACCTGTAAGGACACCTGCCAGGGCCATGATCCGGGCACTGCATCCTCTCCATTCACGATACGGGAGTAACCTGTGATCACGGGCTTGATTGCAGGGACCCCACAGGCTGGAAGCAACAACGAATGTCACCGTTTCTCTTCCATTACTAATCATTAGATCAGTGTTTCTCAACTTTAAGATTGAACACTGCATTAAATTGAAAAGTCCTGCATGGCTGGTGAAGTATGGTATGGGTCTGTGTGTGTGTGTGTGGTGAGTGGGGATTGTTGATGCAGAGAAGGCGTTTGTCCAAATTGTCTGGTCGCTTGGATCATAAGACTCAAGAGAAAGCCACGTGTTCCCCAGAATAATAAGGGAAGCGTTGGGCAGAGAAACTCTCCAGCCTTTTCCCCTTACAGATTCTCATTTAGTTTGAAGGAAAGTTTGAAGGAAATTCCTTTCAAAGGGATAAAAAACTCAGTGAAATGTTCATAGATGGAGGGTGTGTTCTTTGCCCTGATGGTTGGATGTTCTGTCTATCATGGTACAGTCCTTTCATCCTGGCTTCCCACCCTGCCAATAAATCCAAAGGGAAGGCATCAATCTCTGTTGCCATGAGTTCATGCAGCCTTCTTAATCCCAACCCAGAATCACAAAGCGCAGTTGCTGTGTTCGCACGCCTGCTCTGCCTAAGGAGGCAACCCACGGTGGCTTCATGGGAGGCCCTGTTTCAGGCTGCCTGCTCTGACAATCACTGGGTGCCCACAACCTGCAGGTTAACAAATTACTGACTCACTTCAGCCTAGTCTAGGGTGTTGTGAGGATCCAGAATCCACTGCCTGCCGGGTGGGGTTAAACTGGGGAAAGAAAGAATGTTGGTAAGGCCATTTTTGCCCCAAGTTAGCATCTGATCTGGCTATTAATGGCACTCCTATGTTCTTGCCAGCTAGTTGGCCAACCAAATGCTGCATAATTCGGCCCCACGGAGTGCAGAAAAATTCACGAATGGCTGGATACTTACAGGGTGGCAGAGGAGAAGCAGTCACGGCACTGAAAAATGCCAGGCAGGATAAAAACCACAAGGCAGCCATGTTTCAATGTTTGGAGTCAGCAACTTCGTGGAAGAGAAGGTACAGATGCTGCTGCTTTTATATGGTGTGTGTGTGGTGAAACTTTAGATAGATTTGTATACACAGCATACAAAGTTCTGCTATGTCTCCCACTGCAGCATGCGACACAGGGGTGGTCCAGAGCTGATAAATCCATGGGAATGGACAACCGGTCTCCTGATAATGCGATCAATAATTGGCAGGAGCTGGTAATGGGCATAGGACTATATCAAGACCGATGACAGCTGAACAATTTCTTGGCCCGTCTTTGGGACAATGAGTAGGGGATTCTGGGTGTCCTACTCTTTCTTCTGGGCCTTGCGAAGACAAATGGAAAGCAAGTACAGTCGTGTTGGTCCATGGGTGGTGGAAAATTGAGAATCCACAGCTGGTCAATATCTCCGCTGGGAGATTTCTGGGATTCAAGCTTTGGCTGCAAATGAAAGATGTGGAAGATCCAGCTGACCTTCCGCCATGGGTCCGATGCCCCCCCCCCGGCCAAACGTTAGTGCCCAGCGATTGCATTCACCATTAATGTCAAAGACCCTGCATGGTAACCCCAACCTGTAGCCATAGGGGGCTCTTCAGATTCCTGAAAGGGACTTCTAGTGCAGCAGCAAAAGGCCCAGTGCTTGGGGCATCTAGTCAGAAAAGTCAAGAGAGCGGACACGACAGTACAGTCAAAGGTCTGCCTGCCTTTTATGGCTGTTGCATGTACCAGTAGTGGAAGCAACAGGGAGCCCAGCAGAACGATGCAAGGAAAAGTGACATCAGAGGGCGAAGGCAGGGATGGGGGAATTTTGGTTTCTTTTAGTTCTCTTAGAAGTTTCACTTCTGCAAATCTCTCAGATTGGAATAATTGAACCTGAGACTTTTTTTTTTGGATGCATAATATATGCATCAAAAGTTGCATATATTTCAGTTTGTAGTTTTCCAAAATGTTGCAGTTTTGCACAATGCACACAAGAGTTACAGACTATTCCACCAATGTAATGTGTTTTGTCCATTCTTTTTAAAAAATTGTAATTTTGCACTGACTTTTTGTATATGTAATTAATAAATTGCATCACAAAATTTAGAAAAGTGCTCATTTCAAATGATAGCTAAATTTGGGTTCATGTGTTGGTTCAAAAGTATAGAATTAGACAAGTTTGCTTTTAAATAGAAACTAAAGGAAGGTCTCCCCCCTCCCAGTGGAAAGTGTGGTGATCCTCTTATGCCCAAAGGTCTACTAAAATTTGGAACTAGCCTCATTATCTGCCCATTTACTGGCTTCATTCTCATAGAATAAAATGTTTCATTGAGGACATGCTGTATTTGGAATAATTGACTCAGCATTGTTAAGAACACCTGATGGAAAATTCCTAGCACTGCCAGAAGATATGCACGAAATGTTTCACATCCATAACATGAGAATAGCACGAATCTTCAAAGATAAAAAAAACCAGGCTTGGGAAAGATGCCTCCTGATCAACTCCCAGAATTCCCTAGGAAGGGTTGCCCTTGCAGAGAATTCTGGAGTCAAAGACCACCTAGAGGGCACCCAGGTTGGGTATGGTAGCTTTACAAATGCAGAGGAGCAGTAAGTGCATTAGCGAAACTAAATTTGGCCTTAAAATATTTAATCTTTGAAGTAGAACAGCAGCTCCAGATCAGAGGCTTTCAAAGATACTCCAGCAGTGAATTCCTGCTGCTGTCTTTAAGGTAATAAAGGCATTCTGTTCTTGTTCCCCCAATTTACCTCTTATCCTGTGTGTGTGTATTATAGGTACTATTAAAAAAAAAAAAGATATGGAAAAAGAGTGGGAGAATTCAGGAGGGTTAGAACAGAAGACAATGACTTCTGGATCTGCTGTGAAATTCCATGAATAGCAGTTGCTTAGTAAAAGCCATTTCTTGAAGCCGGCTTGGTGACAGACAGTAGACACTAGAAAGGGAAGCCTCTTATCGCTCAGATCTGTTCCTCCAAGACAGTGTAATCTCAGAAGGTGACTACCTGGCCTTCTCCTTCCTACAGCACACCTGCTTCCTGCCAGGACTTTCGCAGCTAAAGCAAACACCTGCTACCCTTATGCAATGTGTTCCCACTGCCAATAGCTGGAGATAGGAGCAACCACCATCGTCAGCCATCCGGTCCTCCATTCCCTTCCAGTAGGGATGCTCCAACTGTTCCAAGGTTCCACTGGATGCCTTGGATGCAGTTGAAGAGCTTCCCCGTTAGAAGATCAGGTCACAATAGCGTTTGCACCTTTGGGAACGTTCCAGGACCTACCTTCCTTCCTTCCTTCCTTCCTTCCTTCCTTCCTTCCTTCCTT